CCGCTCAAGAAACGGCATCACGCGCTGGCCTACCATTTTGTTAGGGAAAGCATTGCAGCAGAACCATCTCCTTCCATCACATGCCAGGAGAAATCAACCCGGCTGACATTCTCACGAAGCACTGGAGTTATTCTCAGATTTGGCCAATGCTCCGAGCAGTGATGTTCTGGAAAGGGAATACCCTGGACACCCTCACCCCGGATAATCCGATGGAGGGGAGCGATAAAATGTGGGTTGGATCCATGGGTATCAACGTGGTGAGTGTGAGAACAAACTGTCTGCCTTATGTTACTGGTACCCACATGGTATGTGGAACAAGCAAAGATATAGAGAATCTGGTTGGTACTGGTGAGACACAGGCCATACATATGGAACCAGGAAAGCCCCATATGGTCCCATATGAAGGTTTTGACCCTGTATCACCCCAGATGGCCATGAGCGAGCATCTACTCAATCAGGTGACCTCAGGAGGATCAGGAGCCTCAGTGTGGCTCAGAGTGCTCAAATCCTGCATAACACCCAATTATTGGATGCATGCTTTTTGCTCATAGTCCTAAGAATTGAATGTATGAATTGAATACCATCTCCATAGACCTGTAGCTCCCTTGTTCCTTTGCAGTAGATACCTATCCTGTTGAGGCTGAGCAGTGGCATTGAGAGGTAAGCTGATAGCATTCGCTAGGCTGCCCAGCATCGTGATAGAATAACATCGGTACAGCTCCAGGAGCTGGAAACTCTGTAAGCAGAGGAGGCCCTGTGGCATCCTCATCTCTTGTGGATCTACCCTGATCCTTTCAAGAAGTTATTGGCTTGAACCTGTCATTGGACAAAGTCTCTCTGAGATGATCCAGGGTGGAAGGAAACTGGATTGATCCATCCATGGCATAGGCTGCCTTAACGGTCTTCTGATAGTCTCCGTATCGTCCTTCCTGTAGGCCATGGTAGCCTACGGTTGCTTTCAACCTAGCCCTTTCCGTCACTAGCACCTTTTCTTGGGCGTCGTGACCCGATGCGACCTTATCCTTCAGCGGTATAATGAAAGACCATCTGCAAGCTTTGCAGAGGCAACAAAAGGACCAACAGAGGCAGTTCGCTACTACCCAGGCTCCACAGAAGAACATCACGAGTTCCTCTGGAATTCCGTGAGCTGTCAAAGACAGAGGCTATCCAGCCACAAACGGGTGCACCAAGAGTGACCAAAAGAAGGCTATCCAGCCAACAAGCTTTTACAGGCAACTACAAGAGTAGTGCCCGTCGTGAGATCCTTCCTGCAGGAGTATCCACACAAGAACACAAGCTAGTTCCAAGGAACAAGCACAGCACAAGAGTGCATTACCACACCAACGGCAACCATGAGATTCCAAGGAAGAGGTGGTCGTAGTGGAGGAAGATACCCTTCTAAGGGGGGTAGGGGATTCAATTCCTCAGGAAGAAGCCATCAAGGAAGAGGCAACAGAGTAATTTGGTTTTAGATTAAGCTGAAAAGCAAAAGTGAGGATTTTCTGGTGGTGCATAGCAATTCTTGTGATTGAATTGGATATAAGGACCCCCGTAACACTTTAGACCTAAAACTCCCTTGGTTCCTTGCATGATGAATTTGCATGCAAACCGGACTAGATGATTAATACACGAGTCAATAGTAAAGAGGTGTCAGATATATTTCCTCTAACAATTACTAAGCCGAATGTAGTAGCTACTACAATCAACATTGATGGATTTGACTGCCCAGCTCTTGATGCATCTGATGTTGACCATCTCATTTGCAGCTCCGCAGAGAATCCTAACAAGATATTCAAAATCAATGTAAAAACCTTACAATGTTCCATTCAAGCCCCCATTCCTAGGGCAATTGCAGGGCCTGTGCAAGGTACAATTAAATTGACTGTGAGTTTGGTTCAATTTCCTATTATCACGAACCGATCAACTACTGGCCACAAGCTTCAAGGACAGAACAAGCACAACTTAGTAGTATCGGTATGGTCTAAGAGAAGAAATTGGAATTATGTGGCTCTATCTAGAGTGCAAACCAGACCAGGACTCTATTTATTGGCAAAGCTTCCACATGATACTGACTTTTCTATGCCTCATGAGTTGAGAGATGCGAAGGAGACTGACACAATTAACCCCAGCTGTTGTGGAGTGGGATTTAGAGGAAGAAGAAAGAATTGTCGATTTAAGAAGGCATCATGCCTTTAATAGAGCTTCAACTTGACTTAAATATTTAAACCATGTCCTATGCAATGCGAACCTGTATTATAATTGGTCTAGGCTACGTAATCTGTGTACATATCAATAGTAGCTTGCTTTACCATGGCTGTGCCAACCAACCCAAAAGCCACCGGGTACCTGCTGCAAAAAAATGTCTTTGTACTGCTTATTGGAGTGTGCAGGCCTGCCTAAAAATGTTTTATCTAACCCCCTTTGAAACCCCCAAATTAAGTCGTGAGGAAACCTCACGGATGACGCCAGAGTCCCAGTCGGCTGCACTGCAAGATCTAATCACCCAAGCCAATGCCAACAAGACAGCTGTACTGGCAGTCATCGATGCAGCAATTGCCTCCAAGCAACAGAGTGTCAACAACACACGAACTCTCATTAACAATGCTGGCAATGCTTTGGTTGTGGGTGATCTGAGGGAAATAAAGGGGACCTTGGAGCGTCATGCTGCCGAGCTCATTGAGAGGCGAGCAACAAGAACCCAGGATTGGGACACGACGATCAATGCCGCAAAGGACAGACTCAATGTTGTCACTGATAGCCTGACCAACTTGCAGCAGCAAAAGAAGGTGGTGGATGTCAAGGTGGAATGTGATATCCGCACCCTCGACGAACTCCATTCTGCCTTCGGCAATGCTGAGCAGCTTTTCGAACAGGTGGTCAAATGGAATCAGCAAGAAAAGCTGACAATTGCCAAACTGGAGGTAGAAATTGCCCAGAAGTTTTGGAAGCAGATGGTCAGATTGAATCCACAAGATGAAGAAAAGCTGGCAATAGCCGCACAGGAGGCATCTGATGCCCTGGGACGGTTGGTGGAAGTGCACGAAGACGGCAAGAGAATGAAGGCATTTTAGACATGTTTTGATCCCGATTTCACTGGTATCACTGGTATCGTATGAAGAAGCAGACCAGTGGACGACAATGTCACTTGGGCCGACGACATGCGAGCTCGACAACAACCAGGGGAACAGGCCCCATTTCTGTGTTACGAATCAAGATCGACGAGATAGCTACAGTCTGAGGATGGGCTACCCGCACATGTACACTACTATTGATTCAGGTCAAGCTCGGTCCAAGAAATAGTGTTGGACCTAATGAGAAGACCGCGTAGTGTAACCTCATAGCCTATACTCTTGTCACCATAAAATGTCTAGCTCCACATCCACCTCTGTTCGGCATTTCGCCGAAAAGTCAAGCATGTGTGTTATGCAATCTCTTCTCTACTAGCTAGTAGGCTTGGTAATTCTAGCTACCGATAGGTGGTACCGGTAGGTTGCGTGTTGTCTCAACATCTGCGCGACCACTCTGCTCGACCAGTGCACCGCTCTAATAATTTCCATGTTCGACGCGATGGATAGTCAGCGATGAGCCCGAAAGGCCAGGATACTCAGGTAACAACACAAAAGCTAAAACTAAAAGACTACTATTGACACTAATGCAAACAACCCACCCCCCCCGACATACTCACCCAAATGCCTTGCGGCATTTATTTTCTGCGCTTGCGATTGCGCCAGAGCGGATTGCGCTGGATCCCAGCAGTACTGGTAGCTCCCCTCTTACCAGCAGCCAAAGTGCTGTCAGAGTTGGACTTGACCGACTTGGACTTTGCTGGTCCACCGTCTCCCTTCTTGCCAGCAGCAGAAGTGCCGACCGACTTGGAATTCGCCGAATTGGGCTCTACTGGCCCACCGTCTTGCTCCTTGACAGGTCCTTTCTTTGGGCCTGCTGCGGCTGGAGATGAAGTGTTGGCCAACTTGGGCTCTGCTGGTCCATGGACTCCCTTCGTGGCAGGTCCCCCAGAAGTGCTGCCACCTGAGATTGAACTCTTGCTCTCAGCAAAAGTCATCGCCTTGGCACCACCCTTCTCGACGATTATGTACGGGTCCTCCTCAGGCGGACTGCAAAGAATCTTCCTGGGCAGGAGGTCGTGGAAAATGAGTACGGAGCAGGCTTGTCCTCCTGGAACAATGACTCCGTAGGTGAGTCCCTTGGCATCAAAGATGAGGCGCTGCCCTTCTTTTAGCTTGTAGACAACAATCCGATGATGGCCCTCTTGGTACCAATTATTCTTGTCCATGCTCTTGAGGTCCGCCTCATACTCCTCCACCAACTTCCGCTCCTTGGAGGATTCGGCATCCCCAAGGCTTTCTTTCCATTTCACGTACTCCTCATAGTCCCCAAGGTCCTTGGCAAAGTCGACTCGGTCCTTGTAGGCTGGCAGGCCCGGAGGCACAATGACAAAATTCCAGCTTTCACCTCTGACTGCGTAGATTGTCACCATGCCACCAATCGAATCTCTGTGCTTTTTCGTAAATTGGATTTCTTGGCTTGCAGCCACATTGTGGTGGGCTTCCGACCCTGCCAAGAGACCCGGTTGCTTGTTGCCGTCAATTTTCTCCCGAAAGTCCACATTGGAAGCCTCTGCAATCCGTACCATCCCCTCGTGGTCCATGCAGATTGCGCGACTGCTCTCAGCAATCTTGCGGAAATGATTGTTGTAGTCTTTGCTCTTGCTGGCGGCAAGTGCGAATTCTGTGTTGCCCAAAACGGAAAATTCCAGATCTGGCTCCCCAGGTATCATTTTCTGCAGCACATCATTGTCATGGAACTGGATGGAGCTGATTGGATGGTCTAAAGCAACGTTCTGTGCACAGAATCTCTTCTTTTGTTCGATCATGTCGGAAACGGGTGTAATGGAGTCAGAGTTGTTTGCTGTCGCCTTTTCATATGCCACTTGATCCAATTTGGCGCCAAGAGACTTTCGAGCCTTTCGATCTAATAGCACCTTTTTTACGCAAAAAACATTGAGCGGAGCCAAGATCCGATTGTTCTCAACATTTCGTCTCCAAAGGGTTTCAAGCTTTTCTCTGTGTGTCTTACAGAGATACATCCCTTTCTTTGGCTCACCATTTTCCATCTCAACAGGATGATCACACTCCTTGCAGAGTAGAGCAGATGAAGGGATTGGCGGTGGTTGTTGTTGTTGTTGCTGTTGTTGCTGCTGAGTCAAGTGGCGTTGTTGCTGTTGATTTCGTAGACGTAGGAGTTGCTGAGGGTTCAGTTGACCCATCTGCTGCTGTTGTTGGCGGAACTGGGGCCCAATCAATCCACCATTTGGCATACCGGTAGATAGAAATGGAAATGGAACTGGAACCGGAACTGGAACCGGAACAGGGAAAGGGAAGAATCCTCCTACAAAAGGCCCAGGAGGCAGCCAAGGCATACCATTGGCAAAACCAAAAGGAGGAGGCACACCTCCTCTGGGATCACCATGGGGCAAATTCAAGGGTGGAGCTCCATTTTGCTGATTCTGTCTTCCATTGCCAAAGGCGTACTGATTGTTCATGGCTTTATGCGTGCTAGCTAGGGGAGCACGTTGCTGGCTATAGTATTGGTATGGTAGCTACACTGACACTGATCACAAGACAATGGCTGGATGCTGGATGCTCGAAACACGAAGCTGGCTACCGGCGATAGTACGGTGGCTGGTGTTAAAGTACCAGTCCCACTGCGACATTGACCCTTATATCCACCAGAAGCACGTCTCAAGAAGCCAACCAGTATGACTGCCCGGCTCGCGGGACTGCCACTTGTAGGTATCCTTTTTCAAAAGTCACGTTTGTGTCCGTCGGACCCAGCTGGCGAAACTTGGTAGCCTTGGCTGTTAAGTGGATTCGTAACGGGGTTAATTCATCTGTCCACCTTGTGCGGTCATCGGTGCGTCCTAAAAGACTCTTCGGCGTGTTGAGAGAATTGGCTCATAAGTAGTTCTCGTTGAAACAGACAGAGCTTCACGGTGGCGGATTGTGAATTATCATTCGATGAATGCATTCGAGTCGATTGATCATTCGAATTTAATCGAGTCTGGCCCCTATCCCTACCGCATCCGAGCATATCACCAGCTGTTGAAAAGGTGTGAACTTGAACGCACAATTTCTCTAATTTAATCAATATCCTTCCAGCTCTACTGTCTAGTAGACTGGCTATCTGTTTCGTTTTCTCTTTCTCTCTCGTTCAGATTGTGAGCTCTACAACTGAGCTCCGATATGCATACATATACCAGGATCTTTCGATCCTCTGCTTCTCGCAGTTTCATCTACAGATAGATCTCGTCGATCTATCTTCCTGAAGTGCATGGTTGGCCCTGGAGGGCTTTCCCACTTTACTAAACCTATGGACCTTCATCCGTCCATTCATTTGCTCCGTCCCATCGCTCCTTGCATTCATCTCTTCGACCTAACTTCCTAACCTTTGTAGTTGCATCATCTAGACGACCATTGTCCTCGTTCCTCGTACTCCTGGCCATCTGATGATGATCGGATAACCATCTGATTTGAGTCACACATCCCCAATCACGAACCGTGATTGTGGATCCCGAGTCGTCTGTCCGTCATACGAAAATACCTTTCTAACACCCTTCCTGTTTTCGCGATGATGGCAGCGATCTCCTTACCAACTCAAACCAATTGCTCCTTGTCTCCTGTTAGTTTCGGTGCATGTCTGTCGAGGGTCTCGACGTTGACATTCTTGGTTCCGATGTCGCTCACGTTGTCTTCCGAGCGAACGAAATCAATCTTCACTAGGCCGTCCTGCTGCATTTGGTTCACGTAGGTGCCACCTCGTATCCATATGCCTTGTTCGACTTGCACTTGTCTTGTTCTCTGACATAAAGATAGCACCTACGTTATCGATCTTCACTTGCACAGGTAGTTCCACGTTGATCTGTAGGAACTTCAGAATCTGCGCGATGAACGGGACTTCTCGTACTGCTTCGCCACACGCGTAGAACTCAGCTTCGTAACTCGACAATGCTACGACCTTTGTAGCTTGGACCTCCAGTGAATGAGTACACCTTCGAGAAAGATCATCATGGACGTGACTGATCTTCTGTTGTTCTTGTCTCCGGCCCAATCCGAATCCGAGAATACTTCCAATTTCCACGGTCCTTCGTTCTTCTCTGGTCTCATCAAAAGTCCACGGTTCCTTGAGTCCAACACGTACTTTACACAGCGTAGCATTTCCTTGTACGCTGCCGGCGTTGCGCATCCCAGACCTTAGCTAGCTCTCGTACCGCGTTCGAGATTTCTGGCCTTGAATGCTTGATAAGGTACATGAGCATGCCTCTCCTGTTCGATATCTGCTCTGTTGTTCTTCAGCGATCCATTCGCTCTGTTCGTCTGTCTTTACTATTCCGAGTCCAGGTGTTCCCGCAGTCTTGTACTTGGGTAGCTTCTGTACCTCCTCTCCGAATGTGGTTTGAATCTTCTTAATCATGTGGGGTTGTCCCACCCATGCAGCATCCTTTCGGGGATTCATCCGAATCTCACAGCTCAGGTAGTCCGTGAGTTCGTACTCTATGGTCATGTTCACCTCGATCTTTAATCCCTTGAAGCACTTCCTTGATATCGTCTTCTTCTCCAATGGTGAGATTGTCATCCACGTAACATAGAATCACGCATATCTTCCCATTCTTGTTCCGCATGAAGAGGCATGGATCACTAGGAACATGTAACGAATCCTAAGTCTTCCAGGACACTCGCAAACTTCAAGTAGTACCTGTCGTGCGCTCTGGCAAGCACCATAGATGGTCTTGTCAGTATGACACATTCGTCGTCTTGGTGTTCTAGTCCTTTTGGCAGTCCATGTAGATGACTACGTCCATGTCTCCATGTAGGAATGCTGTCTCAATATCGAAGATAATTGCCTTCGCTCTTCCCATCTTCTTTAGTAGTAGAATCAAGATGATGCGGAAGGTGATGTCGTTAGCCACCGGACTGTAGATGTTGTCAAAAATCAATTCCGGGTACCTGACTGTATCCGCAGGCCACCAATCTAGCTCTGAATCTTCCATTCCGCTTGATTTCCAGCACCCATTTGTGTTTGACACATCGTCTCCCTTCCTCCATTCTTGATCTCTTGATCTTGCGCCAGACCTTGAGTTTCTCCATCTTGTCTAGCTCGCCTTTGATCGCCTCCCTCCACTTCTCTCGCTGAAATGGTTCCGGGTGGTCCCAAGCTTCCTCGACGTGCTTGGCTTGTGAACAGATACTTGTACTTTGCTGGATCCTGAGTCCTTTGGTCATATGCGAGAGTCTTTTGATCAATGGATGCCTGTCCTAGTCCTCCCGTCAAATCTACTTCTGATGCCGTGTACCCAAACTCCATCCAGTCTCATGTGCGTTCCCAAAACGTTCTGTCATTGGAATCGTCGAAAAGTTTGCCATTTCTGTCATTGGCGGTGATCCGGTTTTGCCATTTCTGTATTGGCGGTGATTCATGGTTGTTCGTGCTGAGCTGTTATCTTCTCTCCTCCTTCGGATGCATCGTCCGAAAGTGCTTGCATGAGGGAGCCCCCGTCATGAGGTTGTACCGCCGCTAGCTTGTCCAGTGTCTGTAGGGCCTGGGGTTGTAGCTCGCACTGAGTTTCTGTAGTTCCCGCGTTGCCTTGGATAGTTTGGTCGCGACCGGGTCAGGTGGTTTGGCTGTTGGATCGCGAGAACTTTATAATCTTCTTGGTTTCTAGTGTGATTGCTCCTGCCTTGGTAGTCTTCGTGGGCTTAAGGAGCAGATCATGGAGGGTTCGACTCCGGTTATTTCTGTAGGTAGGACGCTGAGGAGTTTATCTTTTCCAATATGTGTGAGTTCGTCTGGCTGTGCTGGGTAGACCCATGACCCTTCCATTCGGCATACGTCTTGTCCAATCCAGATCACATCGCGTGTTAGCACTTGTGCTCCTGTTGCGATATTGTACATCTTGTACGTGTCTGCACTTGTGATTCCGTGCTCTTCAAAGATACAGCATAGGTAATCCACGATCTTGTAGTTTTCCCTTGATCTTCCCAACAAACTTGACGTATCCCACCTCTCCAAATCGTCGCAACTTAGATAACTGTGGAATGTCTTCTCCTG